GGCCTGGGCTGGATTCGAACCCGCCACCTTAGGTGTACGTGGCTGGCGCCTTAGCCACTTGAGCCACAGGCACCCAGCCTATTTATTTATTTTTTTGAAAACAGAGTCTCACTTTGTTGCCCTCAATAGAGTACTATGACGTCATAGCTCACAGCAACCTCAGACTCTTAGGCTCAAGCAATCTTCTTGCCTCAGCCCCCCTGAGTAGATAGGACTACAAGTGCCCACCACAATGCCCAGCTATTTTTAGAGACAGGATTTTGCTCTTGCTCAGGCTGGTCTCAAACTCCTAAGCTCAAGCAATCCACCCACCTTGGCCTCCCAGAGTACTAGGATTATAGGCTCATTCCACCATGCCTGGCCAATGTCAACCTTTAAAATGTTGGCTACTATGATGGAGATAAAGCAGTACTATTCCCTGGTCTTAATCTGTATTTACCAGATCGCTGATGAGGCTGACATTTTCTTGTAGGTTTAAATATGAATGATGTCTCCCAGGCCAGGTGCTATGGCTCACACCTATAATTCTAGCACTCTGAGAGACCAAGGTCAGTGGATTGCTTGAGCTCAGGAGTTCAAAACCAGCCTGAGCAAGAGCAACACCTAGTCTCATTGAGAACAACAGTCTCGACGAAAAATAGAAAAGCCAGAGCCATGCCTGTGGCTCAGCGAGTAAGGTGCCGGCCCCATGTACCAAGGGTGGTGGGTTCGAACTCGGCCACGGCCAAACTGCAACAAAAATATAGCCGGGTATTATGGTGGGCACCTGTAGTCCCAGCTACCCTGGAGGCTGAGGCAAGAGAATCGCCTAAGCCAAAGAGCTGGAAGTTGTGGTGAGCTGTGACACCACAGTACTCTATCAAGGGCGACAAAGTGTCGCTCTGTCTCTAAAGAAAAAAAAGAAAGAAAAATGGAAAAGCTAACCAGGCATCGTGGCAGATGCCTATAGTCCCAGCTACTGGGGAGGCTTAGGTAAGAGGATCACTTGAGCCCAAGAGATAAAGATTGCTGTGAGCTAAGTTGAGGCCATGGCGCTCTAGCCCATGCAACAGAGTGGGACTCTGTCTCAATCAACCTATCAATCAATAAAACACTACTTATGTCAAAGCATATTTATGGGTGTATGCAGGCAAGGGGATATATATGCAAGACTGTGTGTGTATTTTTTAATATACCTACTTCATTTACACTCTCTAAAACTAAACAAATTGGTTCAGCACTTATAGCTCAGTGGTTAGGGTGTTGGCCACATACACCAGGGCTGGTGGGTTAAAACTGGGCCTGGGCCAGCTAACAACAATGACAGCTGCAACAAAATAGCCGGCATTGTGGCGGGCGCCTGTAGTCCCAGCTACTTGGG